CTCTGTGTGCAAATGCTGCTCGAATGAAAAAAATAAAAAGTCAATAAACGAATAGACGGAACATTCTGGCATGTTTTTCTGGAATATTTATTCTAGACACTGGATTATCGAAAACCAATTTCTCCTTTACGTATATTATTTAGTTCTGTTTATACTGGTCAGAGGTATAAGAGCCGTACAGTGCTTAAACAACTTTGGAGATCCAATATGATGCGCTAGTTTAAGTTCCTTCCATTCTTTTTATTTCTTCAAACCATCGTTTCACGACGGGAGAAAGGAGGGTTTTACTGATTTGTTGATTATTTGTTGTATTGACTATATTATAGTATCCATAGTGTTGTTTAATTGTAGTTTTATAAACATACCCTTCTAAAATAACTGTACAGTTGTTCTATCGCTTTCCTTTTCTATTAGTGTTTGAAGGGTGTGTGGTTTTTATAGTTTTTTTTATGTTTTTGTTATGTTTTTTTTTTAATGTTTTACTAGAAAGAAAAAAAATTCACATCGGCTTAATTATTTCATGTGTCTGTTTTGAATTGCTTCGATTTCAATCGATCTGATGATTGTTGTGCGAATTCCAAAAGATAGGGAAACGGAATGGGCTTGTGTTATAAGCTGCAAATGAGTCTTTCTGTCGCTTTTTATAAATCTTCAAAAAAATTTCTAAGAAAATTGTTATCTCAAATTATTCCGATCTGTTAACGAACATTGAAATCAATACAATTTTATAATGTCATGACAGTTTATATGTTACTATACGGTATGGGCTTTGTTAATGATCGTACAGTGCCCTATTATTGTCTAAGTCCTTGTCCTTTGCCCAGTTGTATCATTGGTAATTATATCACATCTCCGTGTTGTTATATGTTATCATTTCAAATAACAAAAATCAGGTGACAGGGCGCATTTGGGGATTTCAAACACGAATTAGGAGAACAAATGTATGCCTCGATAAATAGAACATATCATCGGTCATCTGTCACACTGCTACATGTATTCCATAAGTGTCAATCAAATCATAATGGAGAAAAGATGAGGAAAAATAAAAGTTAAATTAATTGCTTTTGTTAAAATTGAAAATAAACAATAACTCTGACAAAAACTATACCAAGTTAATAAACAGCTGTTGCATACATATAATTGTTGTTGATGTTATCATCCGTGGTACGCGACACATCATATTTAGGTGCTGCACTTGTGTATCAAACATTAAAAGACTTTGTCAAGGGAGAGAAAAGGTGTTCTTCGGACAAGAAAATATAAGAAAATCAAGTATTTTGACCATGAGGTCAAAGGTCAAGGTTATTTCACGGTCTTGATATATATGACATACACTGCTTTAGTGTACTACAGCTGCATGCCAAATATCATACGCCAGTGTCATAAGATAAATCAGTTTTCATGAATAAATACACGGATCTTTTTAGCAAGTATCCAAAAATGCCAAAAATGCCCTTTTTAGACCGGTAAGCCCCAAAATATAGCCATACTCAAGTTAGAAATGTAACATTTTGTCAAATTTCGAAGGAAGAATGATGTTTGTTATAAAACTCAATTCAAATACCTATCTAGCATATTCAGAGTAACAAAAATGAGACATTTTAGTCGAAATTTTTTGGAAATTAAGCCTTTTCCAGAAGATGGTTCTGCAAATTCTATAAAAAGCATACAATCAAATTTTAAAGTTAGATTTTTTTTTCTCTTGACTGTCATAACATATGTGCAAAATTTCATTACATTTGGTTGACATGACATGTGGACCCACTTATAAGCCTTTTGCATGGTTCTATCAAAGACTGGGTGTTAAGTCATCAATGTAAATTACGAAGTTCCAATTTTAAATCGAGCTGTAAAAACTGTATTAAAAACTCGCGTTTGTTGACAAACCAAAAGCACAAACTGCCAGAAAGATGCTTTGAATATTTATGCAAATAGCATCAAACAACAGCTGATTAACGTATTGCCCATGGAAAAGTGGAAAGACCTATTGATTTTGTTCTGATTGTTTTTTTGTTTGTTTTTTTTTTTTCCGCCTAGATTTTTTAAATCTTGCGCAGTATTGTTGTTTCACAAGATGTCGCTTAGATATTTGGTATATGATATCGAACAGTTCATACGCTTTTGAAACTGACCCTATTTAACCGAACACTTTTTCTTGTAACTATTTCTCCCTAAATACTGTTTTCTTGTATCCACTACTCATTCGCAACCGTAAAAGAAACCGACAAATTTATTCTACCAAATTGCTCGTTATATCTTCATGATATGGAGAACTATTTTGACCGAATGGATCCGGAGACTCCATATAAGAGTTATTTCCCCTTATGTATTTAAAATAAGTGATATGCATTTGTTACTGGTAAACCATAAGTGATAGAGACCTAGGGTCTTTTGATTTGAGGTACTTGGTCCACCAAGATGAAAATTAGGTCACGGTCAAAGGTCAAACTCATGTTCTTAATTTTGATTTTGGTTCAAAGAGTACGTTGACGTTTTATGGGTGTTTTTTCCCTCTTATATTTAAAAATTAGCTGTATGTTGATATAACTCATTAACCATATACAGTAGAGACCTTGTATATTTTGATTTGATGTCCTTGAATTATGACCTCAAAATTGAGGTCAAGGTAAAAGTTTAATTTGACGTTCTAGATTTGGACCTTTGCTGTAACTTATTATTGGTACATGATGAAGTTAAAGGGTCGTTCAAATTGGTCTGCAGTCTTATAAACTTGAAAGAGTTTAACCGGAAGTGACCTTTTGTAAACCAAAAGTTGCCAATTTTGCATTATTTTTATGTAACAGTTTCTAGAACGATGTATTTTTGGAATCAGTGTGAATTAAGGTTTCAAAGAAAACAGATGTGAAATTTTGTAAACCGAAAGTATCCACTTATTTCCCTTCTATTTAGCAAAAATAAATAGAAACCATATTTTTTTAGAATCAGCGTAAATTAAGCTATTTTCTGACACCAGATTTGACATTTTGATACCGAAAGAGAATATTTTTCTATCAAAATATGTGCATTCGCGGTGGAAAGACCTTCAATTGTTCTCTGAACAATTGTTTTCAATTGTTATATTTTTTGTTTTAAAAATTGTTTTAAAATTGCAATCTTAATAATTTGCTTACTGTACCGTTTTTTTTTTATCTGTGAGTTAGTTGCGCGTTTTGATCATGATAATGTGCCATTTGATGGCAAAACAAACATTAAAGGAACATCCTAATTATCTTGTCTATTTTTGTTGTCGTTTTACCTTGAATGTACTTAAAGTTAGCATTTAATTCTTATGGATATTTGTAATATATTAAGTGCAATATCCCTTCACGCCATGACATGAGCAACAGAACTGAAATGTATCATTTTAAAGGTCTGCTTTACAACAAAGGTTTACGTTACGAATATTGAAGAATATCATTCATCCTTCGTAGAATTTTATGTTTGCGACATTAAGGCTATTAGTCCTTAAAAAAGATTGAGAAAAAATCCAAGATCATGTTCATCTTCAGATCATATGTGAATCTTGTAGATCAAAAAGAATTAAACGCATTTTTAACCATCAGATCCGAATAAAATGTTAAGATAAAAAAAACCTTTACTCAGACTTCCTATCGTGGTTTTCAAAATATGCATTATATAAGAATTATAGCTGGCCTTGCATCAATTTATATTATACCTTGATGTTTTAAGATAGAATTAAGACTGCCATGCCATGGATAAAAAATTATAATTAAAATTGTTTTCTCTTTCTCCTTAGTGTGAAAGATTGAAATGGCAAACACAGCAAAACATCACGTTCATTTCATTTTTTATTTATCAGAATTGACATGTCATGGCATTAATTATTTATCAAACAGACGTATAATGTGATGTCACTCTTTTATATCAATATTACCAAGTTTGTTTTTTGTAAAAAAATATAATATTGCCAGGTAAGTTCATTCTTAGCAGCAAATTAAACATTTGCTCTGTTACATGTTTGTTTTTCGTTCATTATCATGTACATAAATTAGGCCGTTAGTTTTTTCGTTTGAATTGTTTCACATTTCTCATTTTGGGGCCTTTTATAGCTGACTATGCGGTATGGGCTTTGTTCATTGTTGAAGGCCGTACGGTGACCTATAGTTGTTAATTTCTGTGTCATTTGGTCTCTTGTGGAGAGTTGTCTCATTGGCAATCATACCACATCTTTTTTATAATAACCAATCTCTCACTAAGGGGTTAAATTGCAGGTCACATGAATATGAATTCGATGAGGTTAAATAATTAGCTTGCAAGTCAATAATACATTAGTAATGTTTAAAAATTTGGGCCCAACTGACTGCTAATAACGAAATGTTATTTCAAAATTCCGCTTTTATCAATACTTGAAACAAAAAGAAGGACACTATCTTAGATTTTGATAGTATCAGTTAGTTTCAACAATTTAGCATTTCAAATTATTGTAACTATGACAATTCACTCTCAGTAGTCGATTCGTTTCATACGACCTATGATTGTCCTAGTTGATGATTGTTTGCGCATGTGCTCATCATGTTTATTTATTGAAAATAGTAATTTGAAATGAAAATATATTAAAAATGCTTTATCTGACTTTTACATTTATAAAGGGGTTATAAGCAGAATGTCGACGGGCACTAATAAAGCACCCAATCCCACAAAACAAACGGCATTTTGATACTTTATAACGTTTCATACATTATTTATTGTTTTCTATGGAACTTTTGTAATTCTGGTATAGGTTTTTGAATGTAATAAATCAAATTTGAGATTTTGATTAAATTAGGTTGGCATGAATTTAGCAACAAAAATTGGAAAAGTAAGAGAACCCGGAGAAGTTCCTCTATGGATACAAAGTTATTATTAAATTTTGCGACAATTTTTCAATGACAATTTAAAGTACTTTGTTCAATGTCTACCATTTGAACGTACTTTGAATAGTCAATACGCGCAACGAGAAGTACAAGAATATGAAACAAACTTTTCGAATCAAACACACCATGAAGACAACGAACGGTACAGTATTGAAATTCGAATATCAGTCTTTAATCATCGATAACTTGAATATAACAAAGACTTTCGCCTGTCTTTGCATAATAAGCCGACGTAGTAGCTATATTAATTCATCAGGGCCCGGTTGTTCAACTTGTCGTTAACTTAACGTAAGCGTTAAATTTAACGTGTCGTTAAATACTCTAACGTGTCGTTACTTAACCCATGGTTAAAATGGTGTTGTTCAACTTGGTTTAACGCCGTCGTTAGTTAACGATGACGTTAAATATTTTAACCCCTCGTTAAATATTTAACTAAAGTTTAGAGATTATTTTTGTTACCCACAATGCATTGGTTTGTTAATATTTATTTCAACATGGCTGACATTTCTTCTGCTAAAAAACAAAGGGACAGAAAACCTAACTTCACATAAGAAGAAGTAAATGTTATACAAGATCAAGTACAAAAAAATTACAAAGTGTTAAATGAAAAGTTTGGGGATGGAGTTACCAATTCTAGAAAGACTGCTGTCTGGAGCAGGATTTCTATCTTGGTCAGTGCTCTGGGTGTTGCCAACAGGTCTACCAAAGACTGTAAAGACAAGTGGGCTAACACCAAGAAGGAGGCTAAAAAGGTGTTTGGCCAACTGAACAAAGAGCAGAGGGCTACTGGTGGTGGTCCACAGCCAAAAAGATTGAGTCTGGCCATAGAAAGGACAATAGACCTTTGCAAAGACTCGGCTTCTTTCAAAGGTCTTGAAGGAGTTGAAAGTGTACTTGGTATGTATCAGAAACTAATTCATACTCTTTTGTGAATATATAAAAATAATGAATCTTAAAATGCTATTCGTTATTCAGTTATTCTCTCCGATTTCATGTAACTTATTGCTGATTAAAAAAATCGCCGATTATTTATACCATGTCATCCAAAATTGACAGGTATTTAACTGATGTATTGATCCTTAATCATGTGTAAGCTTAGTATTTAATTGGCTTTCGGCTATGTTCAGTTTTACTCAGTGAATAATAAGTTATTTTAATTCATTTAGTCAATTATTTATGTCGTCTGCATTCACATATTTACGTCCTAAATATTAACCTTGAAAGACGCTCAGCATGCTAATGAACATATTAGGTTTTGAACCTTATTACCTCATGACACACCTTCTTCTAACGATGGTTGATTTTAAATATTGCCATTTGACAATGTTGTAATGATGGTTTGGGACAATACATGTTCAGTTCAAATTTTCGTTTATCCATGGAAGAAATTTCCCTTTGATTTGTAGCCGACAGGACGATGTCTCTCGGACCCTGGCTAACCCCGGACCCTGGCTAACCCGTACCTTAAATTCGATCGTGGAATACGCTCGTAAAGGCCTAGACTAAAACAATTTTATTAATCATCTTTTGATGATCGTTCAAGATTTTGAAAATTAATATATATAGATGGTGTTAAACTTGGTGAATAGAGTGAAAAAGTTATGTTGATAAAAAGGGGGAGGGGGTCCTACAGAAAGGTATACATAGAAGTGCCACTGGAATAGGTCCTTTTTATTTTGTCAAATATACCAAGGGGATGTAATTTCAACATCTACAATTAAGTGTAAAATGTAGATGGGCCAGTAATTTTCATTTTACAATTAGCAATATATATATAGCCAGTGAGTGACATTGTGAGTTTAAATCCAGCACGGGGCAGGTGCACTCCAATCCAATGATAATTGACTAAGGATTGGAAATTTCCCTACCTAATGTCGGTTGTTTACGCCAGCTTCATCCACCAATATAAACTGACTTCCACGAAATAGCATGGAGTGTTGAAAGTGGCGTTAAACACCAATCCATTAATCCATCAAAACCAATAGATTTACTAGAAAATTATTTTAAATGGTGCAATACTGCTTTATAATTGGACAGAAGTTTGTCTTCTGATATAGTTCTGTTACTAGCCATCTCATTTTGGTTGTCATTGATGCATATGGTTTGTCAGGCTAGGTCAATGAAAGCAAAGAAAGACTGGCTAAACAAAAAACCTCTTTAAGTAAGAAAATTTAACAATAGACACACATGACTTCCATTCATGATAATTTATAACAACCACCTTATTATATTTTCTAGTTGACAACTCAGCTGCATTGCCAGAGGAGAGTGCAACAAATTCCCAGGACCTGTTTGATACCCCTCCAAGCCATCCACTGTCCCTATCTGGATCTGATTCCATTCATCAGCCAGTACCAATTCTACCAGCTGTAAATATCCAGGTGCCATGCCCAGCAGCTGCAGTAGTTGAGTTGGGGACTCTAACAACACAGAAAGCAGTAAATCCAAAGAAGAGGAAAGCAACTGCTGATGATGTTTATGAGCTACAGGTAAAATTTCACAATTGCATTTATTTTAGAAATAATTCAGAATAATTTAGAAACGATTGACATACCATTGTCTTATAATGAATGACTCGGTGGTAGGTTCAAGACTGTCATAACTCGGAAAAATGAAAAGGTAAAATTTATCAACACTAAGAAAAATTGACCTTTTGGGTCCCCATCGATTGGTTTGTATCTATAGACAATGATGTGAGACCGTGAATCGATCTTAAATTACACTTAATCAACATTTCATTTTCAGATGTTGCAATCTTCATCTTTATGAAAATCTTCCAATATAATTAATTTAAATTTATGGGCTTCCAGCCTCTGGACAAAGCATATGTCCAACAGATCATACACTATATCTGGAACTCGCAATTTCATGCAAAACTTCTGTAAATTCCACAAGAGTTGTAAGGTATACAGACACATATAAAGATATACCGGTATGTTAAAAATATATAGATTTACATGTATCATTTTCATTTCAGATACTGTATTTGAAGGGAGAAATGGCAAAGCAGAGTAAAGAGATGAGGAAATTAGATCTTCAGATAGAGTTGCTGGAAGAAATGAAACGAGACAAAGAGAATACTCCACTAACATTTTCTCAACTTTTAATGAATTAAATTATTTATTTTTCTTATCAATCAACAATTATTTTCCCAAAAAAATGCATGTGTACGGTACCAAGTCACAAATGATGTTTAGGACTCAATTTCTTCGTTCAATAATATTTTGCTTTTTTTTTTATTTTGATTTGATATATATACCACTTTTGAGTCTCGTGTTATTTTTTGGTGTATTCGAGACAACTGAATTTTACAATTTGTATGTTATGTTGTTTTTTTTTTAATTCTGTCTATGCATTTTTGCGCCTGTCCCAAGTCAGGAGCCTCTGGCCTTTGTTAGTCTTGTATGTTTTTTAATTTTAGTTCATTTATATGTTTTGGAGTTTAGTGTGACGTCCATTTTCACTGAACTAGTACACAATTTTATTTAGGGGCCAGCTGAGGACCACCTCCGGGTGCAGGATTTTCTCGCTGCGTTGAAGACCCATTGGTGGCCTTCGGCTGTTGTCTGCTCTTTGGTCGGGTTGTTGTCTCTTTGACATATTCCCCATTTCCATTCTAAATTTTATTGGAAATGTTTATATTTTGGCACTGTGTTCTGACTTTGGATTTGATCACTCTATTTTTATAAGGGCCATTCATTTTGATCGTTTGCTTTACATCCAGTGGCAAATATTTCATGCATGTTCATGATGAGAACAAATTAACAAAGAGTACAATAGGTATGATCAGACCCCTCACAAGTTTTTGTAAGGGCTCTTATAATATCATAGCGTTACACTATTTCCACACAATGCAATCAGATTTTACATCCCCTTTCTAACCGGATGTGCCCGCGTATTTACACATCCAACAGTCTATGGAAGACCCACTTTGCGGCAAGGGTTTTACTGATTGGACGAACAAAGTCCAAAGGATGACCTTAAATCTATACCTTAATCCTTAGGGTAAGATATCATTCAGAGTAGAATTAACAAGGAGATGATGTGTAAAAAAGATGTTGACGACGGACACCTAGTAGTGCCAATATCTCACATTACCGTAAATGTAATATGATCTCATAATTTGCTTTCAATTCAACATGTCAAATGCATGTGTTTTGAGAAAACATAACTTGTATTATTTATCACAATTTTATATTGGATGAAAAATAAAGACTCTTTTGTGTTCAAAACATGTATTTTAGTTGAAGAAAACTCTTGCGATATGCTCTCTAATGTGTCTACCATCCTGTTCTCCTTCAAAATGCGGAACTTCCACTGGCTGGTCTTGCTGAACATGTACACCAAAAACATCATCCAAAGGTTCATTCCTTGTTAAAGCTATGTTATGTAGAACAGCACAAGCACCAAAGACTCGACAGACTTTTTCTGGTTTCATTCTGACCTGAAATTTAAAAACATAATTATGGGCATGAAGAGTTAATTTTTAATTCGGATATCTTTCACTTGGAAAAAAATACTGTTTCGGAAGTGTATTCTCTTCTACAATTGTCTCCATGTTAATGACTTTTATTCATTGCATTCTAAAATAAAATGCTCCGCTGGGCGCAGCTTGATACGACCGCAGAGGTCGAACCCTGAACAGTTGGGCCAAGTATGGACACAACATTCAAGCTTGATACAGCACTGAATTTGGATTGTGATTAAATATTTGACACAGCATAGGTTTCTGACACAGAATGAATGTGGTCTAAGAACTTAAAAATTTTTAATTTACCTATTCAAACCATATCATTATTATTTGCTTTTATATATAAATCAGAAATAACCAATTTAAAATGGAAAATTTCAAAGAAAAAAAAAGGAAAAAAAGGAAAAAAGAATCCCTCCCCCAAATTTTTTGAACCCCCTTATGATTCATCATCCCCAAACTCAATCCCAGCCTTCACTTTGTGGTATGGTACCCTGCAGTACAATTTCAGAGAGATCCATACACTTGAACACAAGTTATTGTCTGGAAACTAGAAAAATACTTATTTTTGGCCCCTTTTTGGCCCTTTATTCCAAAACGTTTTGGGCAATTACCCCCAAACTTAATTCCAGCTTTCCCTTTGTGATATGGAACCTTGTAGTACAATTTCAGAAAGATCCATACACTAACACACAAGTTATTGTCATGAACTAGTAAAATGCTTGTTTTTGGCCCCTAATTCCTAAAATTTTGAGGCAGTTACCCCCAAAATCAATCCCAGCATTCCCTTTGTGATATGGAACCTTGTGGTACAATGTCAGAGAGATCCATACACTAACACACAAGTTATGTCTGGAAGTTACAAAAATGCTTATTTTTGGCCCCTTTTTGGCCCCTAATTCCTTAACTGTTGGTACCATAACCCCCAAAATCAATCCCAACCTTCCTTTTGTGGTATTGAACCTTATGGTAAAATTTCATAGAGATCAATTCATTTAAACTAAAGTTAGAGTGCGAAAATCAATGTGTCTTCGGACGACGACGACGACGCCAACGTCATACCAATATACGACCGCAAAAACAATGGTTACTTTAATAGCAGGTTCACTATTGACAATCTTTAATTCATATGAACTGTGCGCCTTTCTGCAACAATTGTCTCTAGTTTTAGGGAGCTATCATTTGATTTTTTTGGGGGGAGGGGGGCTTGTATGAAATTTAAAAAAAAAGGCAGGACAGGAGTTTTGAGAAAAAAAAAGGCAGAATGACAATTTATGTAAAAATAAGTGTGAAAAATAAAAAGGCAGGACAGAGATCACAACTAAAAGAAAAAGACAGGACAATTTTTTTTCATCCTAGCCTCCCCCCCCCCCCCCCCTAAAAATTAAATGGTAGCTCCCTTAGTGTCTACTTGTCCTTTTCATAATAAGTTTCTTTTTTGTGTCCCTTTTTTCTCTATATATTTTCTTTCTCCTCGATTGAAGTTTTTTTGCATTTGTTGTACGAAACTGCTGAGGTTATTTAACTGTTATAGCTCTGCATCATAAGGGGTGTTTTTAAAGATGATTCGTATATATATTATTTGTACATAAATCTGGAAGTTACTTATCTCGTTTGAATTGTTTAATATTTGTCATTTCTGGGCCTTTTACAGCTTACTATGTGGCGTGGATTATCTCATTGTTGAAGGCCGTACGGTTACCTATAGATGTTAACTTCTATGTAATTTGGTCTCTGGTTTTGAGTATTCTCATTGGCAATCATACCACATATTTTTATTCCAATATATTTTAAGTATTCTATAATTATTCTTACCTCGGAGTGCAAAACATGAAATCTTCTCTTTAAGATTCCAAAAGCCCTTTCAATAATGGATCTTGTGCTGGAGTGTGCTCTATTAAATCTTTGCTGGTGTCTTTCTCTGGGATTTGGATAGGGTGTCATGAGAAAAGGGCGACATGCTATCTCCGAGGATCAAACCGTCTGCAAGTCCTCTGTTGTTTGTCTCCAGGTAATGACACAGGTTTGAGGTGTTGAAGATGTGGGAATCATGGGTTGACCCTGGCCAGTTAGCAGATATATTGGTAAACTTCCCTGAAAATATATTAAACTACTTTAATTTTATGAGGAGTACTAATTTAATGTTACAGTTAACTGCAGCTTGAATAAAGGTCAGTCTATTGTTACTTGTGACAAATAGCGAAGGAAACGTACGTATTTTTTTTTCCTGAAAACAATTTTGAACATACATAAATTATAAAATTATTGAATATACTGATAGGTTCAATCAGAGACATATAATATATGTCTCTGGTTCAATCAAATCATCATGGAATAAAAGTTAAACGTACAAAAAAATTACAACAGTAATATGCTTTCATTTATAAACATTGTATAGATTAGAAATAGTACATATGATTTAAGTGGCACATGAAACAGTGTTTTGGGTCCCCTCACAGGTGCGCGTTCTAATTGAAAAAGATAACATACAATGCCCCCACCCCAACCCCAAAGCCCAACTATGATTTATAAATTGTATAAGCACTAAGGCCCCATTTGTTAATATTACTCAAAAACTTTTCAACGTACAAATGTATTTATACATATTTTTTCTGCTGATGAGGGTATAGTTTAACAAAAGAGCTTTGAACGTACAAATTAAAAAAAAATCCGTTATTTTTATTTATTGAGGGGTGTTCCACGGGTCCCTGATTCACACTTCCTTATCCCCTTACTCCTGGACAAAAATCGATCGAAATTTTTTCCCATGTTCCCTCACCCTGTCCCCCCCCCCCCCCCCCCCCCCCCCCCCCCCCCCCCATCTGTATTAGCCTCAGATTCCGATATCTGCATCGCCTTTGAATGCAAAATATGCAGATGAACATTTGGGGTGAGGGTCGTCATTTTACAACTCCATTTAAGGAATAAGCGTTCTAAATTTAGTTATCGTGGTCATCGTCGATCGATCACTGGTAATATTTGGGTCGTATAACATCGAGGGCCGAGTTGATCGTTTACTGACGAGAAAGATTAAGGGAGATAATAATAAAGGTAAACAAATAAACAGACGAAGCGGAGATCAGAGATACACTAGATTACTAAATAAATAAGTATCTTCGTAATCACACACAGCCTGCACGTTCACACTATGGTACCCCTTCCTGTTGACAAAAGCTGCCTCGTCCTCTGATGGTCCTTGTATCTTGACGTGCGTGCAATCAATGCATCCCAAAACATTTGGAAAGTTCATTTGTCTGTGGAAACCACACTTCATTCTGTTTATAGAATTAATGTCTTTTGGCCACTGGATAAAGTTGTCTTTAACATCGAGCAAAGCATTAGTTACATCATTTACTGCTCTAGATACAGTTGCTTTATCGTACCCCATCGTATCTCCAATCACGGTAACAAGACATTTCGGCACCCAGACAAATCGGCACCCAAGTCCGAAGACATTTCGGCATCCATTTTGGACAGTTCGGGATCCGGACATTTCGGGACCAAGACAATTCGGCACCTCATTTTTTTAAATATATATATTAGGAAAAATAAAAGAATTGTTACCGTAATATTATAATCCGTTGATAAAATATGAAATAACAAAATTTGAAATCATCATTTAATTAAATCCTAAATGATTGTGTATGAATAGTAAAACATCATTTAATTAAATCATAATTGATTGTTAGATATGACGGTGTTTGAATAAACATCATTTAATTAAATCATAATTAATTGTAGTTCTGCATTAATCAGTATTTTATGT